CTCAACTGGAACCAATTTGACTGAGGGCCCTAACTGTATACCATATGGACTTACCATCGGCTCGATTCTGTTGAAGCCCAATGGCAGTTACTAATTTCAATGGATCGAGCCTATTTAGGGATTACTCCACCATCGCTATACAATTAAATTGTATCCCAAAATTGATTGGTTAATAGGGAGGCGAAAAGACAACAGAATAAAATTACGGTCGGTTTGTTTTCATATTTCATATCCTATTTTCAATCATATCCTCAAAATAATTGTTTGTTTCATTATTCTCAAAATATTATTATATTTTCTTCAACTATATTTTAAATCCTTTAAATTTATTAATTTAACTAAACACCCTCAGAAAAAAAGTTTAAAAATTAACAAAAATACCTCCACCCACCTACATTTGTCAGATTTCGGTCACCACCATCGAAAGATGACCAGAATCTAATATAATGACACACTACTGGTTGGATCTGGTCGATAGTGTGCCGTTCTATCATTTTTCGGCCAGATCTTTGACTGTAACTAATCGTCAACGATGGTCATCAATAACGGTCATATCTTTAGCAGTCGCTGACAGCCAAATCTAGCCATCGATGGCCAAAAATGGATGGATCTAGCCGAAAAAGGCCATATTGGCACACGAACGGCTAGATCCGTCAGGTTGTGCACTGTAACTCCAGATTTCGACGGTAATGACTGGAATCTAGCAACTGTGGGTGGGGGTGTTTTGTCATTTTATAAAATTTTTATATATTAGGGTGTTTAGTAAATTAGCAAACCTAGAAGGGTGTTTTTATTAATTTTTAAATTTTACCTCGTTATTTTCACCAAAATCTAAAAATATCAAAAATCATATCCAAAATAATAAAACAAACGGACCCAACATTATTTCATTGAACCCAGTCCAGCATTGACCATTAAAATTCTTGAAGGTTGGTGAATAAACACTCATACAAAGGCTGGCTTTTACAACATCTCCAGGAAACTTCAATAATTCATCCTAATCCTGGACATCCTTACACCCACATGGACACAACCGAAACCAAATCAAATAATACATTTGTCTGTGATGACAAATATAGCCAGTACCATTTACTAGAAAGATTTCATCGTCATGTTCTCACTATCGAAAATATTTTGTCTGTTCATGATAATAGATGAAACAAAGACGGTTATTTATGGGATAACAAAACAACATACTTTATTTCATATTAGAAGAGAAAAACTCACTTCAAATTACTATTATTATTATTGGAAAACATTAAAGCAAAAGGGAACTCCACATTGAAATGGTTGCATTTTATGAACTGCAGCTACTTTGTAAAGTTATAACAAATAATACTGACTACTGAAAAGGATTTATACCAAGCCATTGCCATGAAACTATTATAAGATTTTGTACACTATATCTTTTATTTTATAGCTGGACAGAAGATATAAAATGAAGATGAAACCAAACTCTTATAAATTTAAAGGGAATATTTGTGAAATTACTCGTTGCGTTGCTTCACTTCTTTAATATATTGATTAAAATCCACCGGCAAGGTAGACAAGAGATACTTAGAATCTCCAACCCACGCCAAAATGGCGTAAAAAACACCAAATTGGCGTGGGTTGGTACTACAACCCACGCTAAACACTGTGCCATTTTGGCGCAGTGCTACAGTGCTGTGCCAAATTTGGTGCAGTACTGTAGCACTGCGCCAAAATGGCGCGACACTGTAGCAAAAATAAAATTTTGGTTTTTTTGTTTTTTTTTTTAATTTTGTTAAGTTAATTTGAGTATTAAATTTTACACCAAATTTGAGTATTTGTATTTAATTTAATTTGATTATTATTTATAATAATGATATAATTTAAAAAATGATGAGAATGTCCGATTTCGAAATTTTTTTGCTCGACATAAACAAATCAAGGATACAGAGGCTCACCATGCTCTTCGAAATGCATTAATTAATCATTTGTGGGAAGAACATACTAATTTGGAAAATTAAATTACTATCAATATAGAATTTTACCTTTGTGTTGTTGTTGTTTTTTTTTTTTTGTATCATTTTATATTAGATGTAATGTTTTTTTATAATGTTTTTCTATATTAAATGTAATGTTTATTTGATTAAATAAATGCTTAATTCTATTAAATTAGTATAATTTTTAAAATAATTATTATTTAATAAAAATATCATTCCTAATATTTAATTAATATATACAAAAATAATGAGTGAAATAGATTAATTGTTGATTATTACAATAAAAGAAATAAAAAAAATATTCTTTTTGATGCAATATTTGGTATTGTGGGTTGGAGATGGAATAGTGTTTTACACCAAATTTTGCACCAAATTAGTACAATGGGTTAAAGATGGTCTTAGTAGTGCAATAAAATAGTTTTTCAATTATACCCCTCAGTGGTCAACCTTACCTCTTTAACCCATCTTATGATAATAAGTTAGTCACTGTCGATCTTCCCATGCCATTGGACCTGCAAATATATAACTATTAATGGCAATTGATGTGGAAATCTTACCGACAACATAGTATCGCTAGCCTCCAAATGTCTAAAATAATACAAAGCATTATTTACTAAAATATTTGTAATTTTTAATTTATTCCTTAAAGCAACAATGAGATATCAATCCAACCCGACATACTTACAATTACTGTAACATTTATAGCTGGTATGGAAATTATTGGGTTACATTTTTTTCTTTTAAATTCGGATAAATATTTGCCGGTTGTATTTCATTGAACCTTTACCAATCAATCCAATCCTGATAGCAACCAAACACATCACTTTTTGTAATTTGATGAATCGACACAAACACATGGAGATTATTGTTGCTAGTCATGGTATGGTGAAGATACAACCTGGTAAATTCTTGATTGTTGATTTTAATTGATTTCAACATCTCAAATGAATATTTAGGAGTAGAAATAAATATAGATTATGCTGGCATTTTTATTTTTTTTCATGTTAATATAAATATTATCAATGTAGATAAATTTTCACGTTTCATTAATGACATGATTGAGCTTATACATTATAGCAAAATTTAATTAGCATGATATGATAAGATTGTTTAGAAGAATCGAAATAATAAAGTTTAACTGATGTATAAATTTAAAGTCCCCAATACAGTGAATGATACTTCACAATAAATATGCATGATATTTACACTCATTTTTTTCAGAACTTAGTTATTGCTCTTTCACTCTTATTATAAATGTAGAAGATGTTATTAATATTATTTTATCAATAATGCTATAGCCACCGGTATTTTTATACCGAAATATTATATTAGCCTACGTGTCTCGTGATTCACGTAAGTAAATCAGACACGTTTCACGTTATTAAATTTTTTCTAGTGAACGGTCGTTCATCAACTATGGACGGCCGTTCACTTACTATGGACTCCCGTCCATATTATATGGACGGGGGTCTATTTACTATGGACGGGCGTCCTCCATCAATAAAATAAAATAAAAAAATATAAACAAAATTAAGAGACGGCCATCCATAACTTGAGGACGATCGTCCCAAAAAATGGACGGGCGTCCACATATAATAGACGCCGTCCAATATTTTAATAATAAAATTCCATTAACAATGCTTTAAAAAAAAAAAAAAAAAAAATTAGATGTCAGTCCACAAGGAATGGACGGTCGTCCCTCATCTGCCATCAGTTTGATACAATAAACTGAATAAAGAGAGTCAGGATTCCTAAAGATTTTTGACAACATCTAGGGAAGCAAGGTCGTTTTTGACAGCAATTTTGAGAAAGAAATTGATAAAAGAAAAATGACAGATTTTTGACAGCATCTAGGGGATGAGGCGAGTGCTGAGGTGGTAGAGTTGAAGAAGAGTCTGGGAGAGAAGGGAGTGAAATTGGAGGGATTAGAGAAAGAAATTGATGGGTTGAAGAGTGAGAAGAATGTGAGGGAGTTGGAAAGAAAAGTTGGGACTTTGGAAGTGAGGGAATTGGAAGAGAAGAGTAAAAGCGTGAGAGTTGAAGAGGAAATGAGGGAAAAAATTGATGACAAAGAGAGGGAAATTAGTGGGTTTAAGAAGAAAGTTAATGTTTTGGAGTCTGAATTGGATAAGTGGATAGTTGAGAAGAAGTCAGTGGAGGGAAGTTTGCAGGAATCAGAGAGCAAATCCAAGGAAATGGAGGCCCGATTCTGCTGAAGCCCAATGGTAGTTGTTAGTTTCAATGGGTGGAGCCCATTTAGGGATTACTCCACCATCACTCCACAATTAAACATTATCCCAAAATTTTCATCTTTTTTAATTGAACCCAGTCCAACATTTACCATTAAATGTCTGAAAGGTTGGTCAATAAACACTCAGACAAAATAGTTTTTCGGGTATACCCGGCCTCAAGTAGTCAACCCTAGCTCACTCATAAATGATTTCGTCTGTATATATATTAATTAGCACATTACCTCCTTAATACATCATATAATAATAAATTGGTCACTATTGATCTTCCCATGCCATTGGACATGCAAACATATAACTATTAATGGCAATTGATGTGGAAATCTTACCGACAACATAGTATCGCTAGCCTCCAAATGTCAAAAATAATACCAAGCATTATTTATTAAAATATTTTTAATTTGTTCCTTAAAGTGACAATGAGATATCCATCTCCAACCCCATACTCACAATTACTGTAACACTTATAGCTGGTATGGAAATTATTGGGTTACATTTTTTTTCTTTTAAATTCGAATAAATATCTGCCGGTTCAATCCAAAATCCTGATAGCGACCAAACACACCACTTTCTGTAATTTGATGAATCAACGAAGCCAAAATAATCATCCCTATTCATTTATTAGATATTTATTTTCATTCTTCATGTTTTGATACATCTTTATCAACACGAATTTAATACATGTATTTAATTTTAAAAATAATTTTCTTTAATTAACAATACGATTGATTATCGTAAAACTTTAATTAGAGAAGACAAATCTATATAACATTTATTACCTATACATATATAAAAAGTACACGTGTCTTTAATCTACTGAAGTAATACAAAAGATCTATCATCAAGTACTACTATAGTGAAACCACCTAGCTTCGCATGCATGCAGATGCAGTGCACCGCCATTAATTACTTTTACATGATTCTGCAAGCTGCATTAGGATTCTCTTCGGAAAAGCAATCAAATCTATTAGCTCTGTAACTATCGCCACGGCCACCGCCACCGACACCCCAGCTATCATACACCGGCTTCTCGTTATATCCGCAATAACGACATGTTGGCGGCCCATAGTAATCTCGTTGGTAACCTGGCCCTCCTCCACGCCCCTCGTACCATTCCCTGCAACACGTTGGACATTGGTTCTGATAAGCCGATGGTGGGAAGTACGGTGCCGGGTTTGGCAGTGGGTCCACAAAAGTAACCTTAGGCTTGTCTTGTTTTGGCGGCTCTACTTTCGCTGGTGCTGGTTTCTCTTTAGGCTTTTCAGGTTCTTTAGGCTTGGGTGGCGGTAGAATTTCAATACTCTTGATGGATTCACCACCCTCGTAGCAAATATTTTGCTTCATCCTCTCAGGACTATAGCACACCACTTTGATCGTCACTGTGTTCTGCCTCTCGTCATACACCTGATCTTGTATTTCTGATCTTGTCCACAAAAATCAAACATTCCTTCTACATTAAACACCTACTTAAAATTCATTAACAAAGAGAATTGATGAACAGAATTAAAGACAACTTACGAGGGAATTTATACAGCACTTTCTTCACTTTCCTGTAGCACTTCTCACACTGTAGGTCAACCTTCAACACCATTCTTACAACGTTCTGCAACTGTACCCAATCATATATATATATTATTATTATAGTATAGATATATAGATATATATATAATATTATATATATTAACAAACAAATAAATGAGATGGGCATGGTTAAATTATAAGAAAGATAAGATTTTGCAGACCTTCTCCTCCATGACTGGCCGGTGGGGTTGCTCAGATATGAGTCTGAACCTCGTTCTGAGAATATTATTAAGTGCAGTTTGATCAATTCAAGTGATGAAGAAGAGAATGACAAGTGAGACACATATTATAAATGATGTGAACTCATCCTAAATCTGAAGTAAGACATAAGAGTTTGAGTTCCGTACAATTGCCATCCGCACGCGTGTCCTGAGTCGTGGAGCTATGGATCAAGATCTCAATCACAAGGCGACAAAGAGTGTCGGTATAGGATAATAGGAATTTATATGGGTAATTGATTGTATAATTAGTTGCAAAAATTGTCAATTATATAATCAAAATTCATTGACAAAATGAAGGGCGAATTAATAAACTCCAGGTTGGCCTGCTCTTTTTATTGATTTTTTTCTTAAAGTTTAGATTTATCTTTGAATATTAAATTTATAAGGCTCTGCTTGCTACACATATTGGAAAACTATTATAGTTTTCCTAATAAAATTAACACAAAATTTATGTTTAGTTCACCTACTTTTAAAAATACAATTCTAAATTATTTAATTTATTTAACCTCTCTAAATTTGTTAATTTAACTAAATAACCCCCATTTTTTTAAAATTGACAAAAACACCCCAACAACCTAAATTTTACCAGATTCCGACCACCACTGCCAGAAACCAGCTGAATCTGACCGGTAGTGCACCGATTTGACCTTTTTCGACCAGATCTATGGTGGATCTGGCCGTTAACGATGGCCAAAATAGGATCGTCGTTGACCATCAACGATGGTCATATCTTTGGTTGTTGTTGACGATCAAATACGGCCAGATCTGGTCGTCAATGGCCAAATATAGCCGTATATCTAGCCTTTTTCGGCCAGATCCACGGTGGATCTGACTGAAAATTGCCATATCGACGCACGACCAACAAAATCCAGCCGGTCATGCACCGATATGGCTACTCCGGCGACCCTCCGGCGGTGGTGGCCGGTTGTTCGTATTTAATGAGTGGGTTGGGGGTGTTTTTGTTAACTTTGAATATTTTATTATAGAGGTGTTTAGTAAATAAATAAACATAGAGGATAATTTTTATTAATTTTTAAAATTCTATATCGTAATACCCACTCAATTGAACTTTTTTCAAAATATTACTCTAAAAACTACCCAATAATGAACCAAACGGAGCCTAAAATATTCAATAAACCTCACAAATTAATCGAGATAACACTTTATTTGTTTATCTACTTATATTATTTATATAACACTTTCAATGGCCCTTATCTCTAAATGGAATTTGTTATCCATTCAATGAATTCATCAACCAAAAGTTAATTAAGAAGTTAATGGACTTCCATCTTCTTCTCCTTCTTATTTGATATAGACTTGTGAACAAAAATCAATTCAACATTTAATTTGATCAAATAATAATAATATCAGTAGAAGAAATTTGTTTTCTAAATTATTCAACCAACCGATAGAAATAAATGTGTGGACAGGAACGGATGCAGTACATTGCCTATCCTCAAATTTTTAAAAAATATTAATATCTATAATTTATAAATTTTGATCCACCTTAATAGAAATATTAATAGATAAAAATATTAATGTGTAGAATGCTTTCAATATGGGCCGTCTATTGTATATCATATGGACTTGCCAACGGCCCGATTCTGCTGAAGCCCAATGGTAGTTGTTAATTTCAATGAGACGAGCCCATTTAGGGATTACTCCACCATCGCTACACAATTAAACAGTATCCCAAAATTTTCATCTTATTTCATTGAAGCCAGTCGGCCAGTCCAACATTGAGCATTAAATGTCTGAAAGGTTGGTCAATGAACACTCGGACTGTCGGACAAAGGCTAGCTTTTACATCATCTCCAGAAAACTCAAATAATTCATTCTAATCCTGGACGTCCTTACACCCAAAGGACAATACGGTATAATTTCAGAAACTGTATAGTATCTCCAGGACGATCCCATCAAACCCCGAGTCCATACAAGAACATGCATGCAAACATGGTGTTCGAACCAGAAGGAACCAAATGGGGGCCAATACAAACCAATAATTAATACACATAGTACGGATCGAATTTGGTTGTAATATTGAGACTCTTCAACTACAGGAGTAGACCACCACAGGGCCAGACGCTATTAAAGTTTTCAGGCGGTGTGTTGTCAGGTTTCAACTTTCAATAATTCAATCTTACACTATATTCATATTCGTATTCATCTTTAATCTTTTTACCCACCGGCTCTTGCAGTTTCCTTGTTCTTCCACCGGCCTTNCCATAGTAGCCGGCGGCGACGGCAGTAGATCGAAAGAAACGGTAAGATACAAGATAGGATAAGAGAAAAAGAAAAGATAATTACAGAGAGTTATAAGTTAGAAATCTTATCGGGATTAGAGCTTGTGGGTGGAGTAAGTAATCGAGTTTCTGTACAAATTTAGTTTAAAAATTAAATAAAAAAGAAATGAAAGTTAAGCAGCGAAGAAGAAGCAAAGCAAGGAGGCAACATGCTACCACCACAAAAATATAATACAAATAATACCACACCCAACCCAACCCTTCGCCACTAGATTTGACCTTTCTCTCTTTCTCTTTCTATCTCTATCTCTATGGTTCTACAGATTTGTTTTTGTTTTTTTATTTGAGTTATGATTTGATTAGATTTGATTATTAATTAAATTTTAATGGAAGGTGTAATTGGGATTAGAGAGATTAGCACAGAAAGGTGAGATAGTAAGAGAAGTGAGCGATACTCTTTGCTTTTTTAACTCACCTAAACGCCGATTAGTGTTTAATTAATCTTGTTTATAAATTAATAATCACCTCTCTCTCTCTCTCTCGCTTTCAGTTTGCGTAATTTGGCTGAAATGTCGTATCTGAAAATTCTGTAAGTAAATCTTATATTTTTATGGCAAGTTTTAAAGCATTTTTTGTTATAAATTTAATTATAATAGATAGAAATTTACCGGAAAAATTTTTGTATTGTTTTTTTATTTTAATATTGAGGGGTTTTTATTTTTTATTTTGCCTTGTTCTTATTTAGTATTAAGCTCATTCATTTTGTTCACAAAGTATTAAAAACATTAATGATGTCTTTAATGAACAAAATAAAATAATTTTTTTTCTTAAAAGAAGTGGTTAGAACTTCGAAACGCTTTAACTAAAGTGTTTTCCAGTACGATATTTTAATAAAAGCAAATCAAAATGCACATTTTATGCAACATTGTGATGGTTGAATTTTATATTCAGAATATTAAAAACGATGATGTACAGAAAAATGAGATTTAAAATATAAAACCCCAATTTTACTTATACTAGTTTTTATTGTGAGAAATTGATGAAATTTGATACGATAATACACAATTTGTGTAATGTTAAAACATGTTGGTTGAGGATGCTTTTAGAAAACATTATCAAATTGATCATAAATTTCTCAAGATTTTTCCTATATTAGAAATAAACATGAAAGATTTTTAAACCCAAAAATATATGAAATTTGAGTATTTATTATATGCATATTTGTCAACTGTCGGTACACTAACACACTCATACTAGCTTTAATTAAATGACCCCACGCCAGAAAAAAAATACTAATAATAGATAAAAAAAATAAAAAGAGAAAATATTTTGGTGATTTTGATTATGATACCTTTTAGAATAATAGTTTGAAAAAAAAAAAGTTGGTGATTATTTCGAAGTATGATTTAAAAGTTAATAAAAACACCTCCTATATTTGTTAATTCATTAAATACCCCTTAATAAAATATTAAAAATTAATAAAAATATCTCTACCCACTTATTAAATACCGGCAGCCAGCCACTACCGCCGGAGGGTGGTCGGAGTCGCCATATCGGCTCACGACTAACTAGATATGGTCATTCTTGCACTGATATGACATTTTCCAACCAGATCCATCTGACCGAAAAAAGCAAAATCTACGACTAGATCTAGCAATTGACAGCCAAATCTGGTTGCTTTTGGTGGTCAATGACATCCAAAGATATGGTCGTCATTGATGATTAGCTACGGTTAGATCTATGGTTGTGGACCTGATCGAAAAAGACTAGATCGACGTACTACCGACTAGATCCAGTCGGTAGTGTGCCATTATATCAGATTATGTCTACCTTCCGATGTTGGTGGCTGGAATCTGGCAAATGTGGGTGAGTGGGGGTGTTTTTTTTAATTTTTAAACTTTTTGGGGGTGTTAGTTAAATTAATAAATTTAGGGGGTTTAAAAAATTGAATAAAATAGAATAGTATTTTTTAAAAAACAAATGTGTATTTTGGGTAAAATAGGGATAGGATAGGGAAAAAAAATTTAAACAAACGCATTTGTGTTCACTGAACCTTCTTGTCTTTACCATCATGTGAGCTAATGTCATCAGATATTTAGATTTTAACTTCTTTTATATTTTTAGAAACTAGGAAATATTTGAGGATTTATTTGGATGAAATTGGTAAAAATAAATAATTATATTAACCTAATTTTCGCAATAGATTATTCAATTTAATTTACCTGATTTCGGATATAAACAATTGATAATGCTACTTATCTCAAACAAAAAATCAAATTTATATATTATCATACGTAGTATTAACATAT